CTCTCTCTCTCTCTCTCTCTCTCTCTCTCTCTCTCTCTCTCTCTCTCTCTCTCTCTCTCCAATTTCTGGATCCAGCTCTCTACACGCGAATCTGCTGGCACTTTGCGAGCGACACTTGGTGCGCCTCTCTCAGCGAAGCGTAGCGAAAGGACGAACGAACAGAGACAGCGAGAGGCAGCGACGAGCAGAGAGTAGAGGACTCGATATCAACGGCGGATCGAGTGATCTTGACACACTGCCCGCGTCAGGCCGAAGTGGCTAAACTTAATACCGCGGCGAAGACGAGGAAGGCAGCCGCTCGTAGAATCAACTCATGTGTACGATGCGCCAATTGACTTCCGCCAACTGACGTCACGTTTCTCTCTTTTTCTCTCTGTCTTTCTTTCTCTTTTTCTCGCTCTCTTGTCCCTTCCTTTCCCCCTAGTCTCGGTCGAATTAACTGAAGGACCACCGGTAATTTCAAGCAATTGCGGGAACTCCGCCAGTAAGGAATTTCTCCGTTATTCACGCACGAACTCGAGTGACATCACGCAAGAAATCGTACATATTTTTTGACGGCGACGCGATTTTCACGCCATGACTCGAGTGATTCTGAACGCGGGAAGTACACGGAGGAAAGTAGATCGGTGGTTAGAACCTAGAATTCATTACAAGCTTCCGACTTTGCGCTGATAACCTATCAGTAACCCGCCGATAAGGAACGCTGCTGATAATGCAGATCTAAGCAAATCTGTAGGAAAACAAAGTCAACTGTGAACTGCATAAGAACTAATTTTTCTATTAAGTTGAAAAAATATCAGAATTAAACACAGGAATAACGAGTGACGATAAAAATTGACAGTGTTCCTTAGAAAGCACTTCGTAGCGAGAAAAGGTCGCGAATGCGTGTTCGGATTTTATCATCGCGTCTGACTAGTTAGCGCAGTTTATTCTTAGCCACTCATTCGGTGTTCATCGTCGAAAGGAAGCGCGGTTGATCGGACAGAATGTAATAGAGTCTAATGCATCCATATCGTCAGGAAGTCAATTAGAGTAATCGGATTCCCATTTTTTCCTGTTCGACGTCCAGCTACGTTGAGCGTCGCAATTCACGACGCCAGAGGTAGCGCGCGCGCGCGCGCGCGTTCTCCTCTCGCGATATCGCAAATCGCCGCGTGCTGTTGCATTGCCAGCTTGTGGAATTGCGGGATTTTCTTTTTGCTGGCCGCGATTATACCGTATCTTAGCGGTACAACGATTAAACCGACTAGCACGCGCGCGTGCAAGAGGGAGGGAGAGATACGCGATTTCATCGCGAGCAGAAGCGAACGAGAAAATATCTCCGCCAGTAAACAAGGATTTATTCGTCGCCACGGGCGAATTCAGGATTCAACGGCGAAATGAATTATTCGTGGTGATGTGAGACGCGCGCTCTACGTACAATCGTAATATATTACTGCGTCGTGCATCATCATTTTCAACGGGCTGGCGAAATAAGAATAGCAATCCGCCGGCAGTCGGGCAAATATGCAAATCTTGTATCTTCACCCAACTCGTGGAAATTATCATAAGTTAACGAGTTATAGGAGTAAGGCCTACCATCGAGCATCTCCTAATTGCTGAATGTTACATGTAATGCTCGATCGTGCAGCCATGAGGTAGAGTGATTAATTAGTAATAGACTATGCCTGTAATTAAATGATCGCGCAAACTCGTGTTCCGGGCGAAGCCCGACGTTGTAAACTACAATTACGTTTAGCACGGAACGGGATACATAGCGCGGTCCCGTCGAACTACTTCATTCGCTCACATGCATATTCATGCTTACCTATATGTGCTCGACTTGCCTCTCATCGCGATATATCCAGCCGGATATCCTCCGAATATCGCAAGAAAAGTCAGAAAATCTCGCGTATGTCGGCCATTTTTACGAAATATCTCGCTCAACCCTCCGTCTGCTTCCCTGTTTTTCGTTAACGCGGTCTGCTTCACAGGCAGCGCTGCTTTTCTCCTCATATGTGAGTAGAAAAAACACACAAGGGGAAGATTTTTCTCATTATTTCAGATCTCTACTTTCATTATTTCAGGTCTTCCGAAAAAATATACTCTCATCTTTAACAGGATGTTTTTACACGTAACACCAAGAAAACTATTCTAAAATCAAAAGAAAAATATTCTAAGCATAATACTCTTATCCCTGGAATCCTGAATGAAGTTTATCTCGAGAGTCACAGGTGGCCACACTTAGCACTAAATGCGGGACGTATGCGCGCACTTAACTGACAAACAATTTATTCGCCCGAAGCGAAACTGGCTCGCTATGCTCTTGTTCGGATCTTTAATTACAGGGATGCTCACGGCGTCGCAAACTTAATTGCACAAATTGTCTTAGACAAGACGAGGATTAAAGTTCCGCCGATAGTCGGCAAGACGCGCGAGTTTTGCTTCTGCGTCCGACTCCCCAATCTCACCCTCATCTCCTCTCTCTCTCTCCTCTCTCTTTCTCTCTCTTTCTCCCTCTCTATTTCTCTTATTCTCTATATATACGTCTCTTTTCCATTCATCTCAAGCGGCCGGAGGCAACGGAGCGCGATACTGTGGGATGAACTTTCCTTTCGCGTCTAACTCTGCGGAAGATCGTTATAGTCGCCTATTCGATCGCGAAACGCGGTCAGTGTCAGGAGTGAAATTCGCAGCGCGATCCCAAAGGGGACGAGGACGTGTGTGCAAGCAACGACTGAGATTTTTGGCTCAGCGTCACGCTCAGTCCTCTGCAAATGCTCGTGATCGACTTAATGAGATGTAGAGACATGAAATGAATGCAAATGCCGTAGATATATATGTTTTCCGTGCACTTTTCTGCACTGTTCGTACTTTCTCGTAATATGGAAATGAACCACATTGTACCCTTCTCCCGCTCTGCCCACCAGCACCGTCGTCCGCGTTCCTTTCATCCCTATTGTGCTTGCGATCGCGATATACAGAATATCCTGGAGTTTAACGGAACGTTTTTTATGTCCGCGGATTCTTTGGACAATTTGAAGTCAATTTTATTCCTCGTTTGATTTCAAGAGAAAACTTCCATTTGTAATTCCAGATACTCAATCACGTAGAATTCTGAATCGAGATTTCTATTCTGCATTAAGCCTGCAAATTCTGTCGAACTTGTAGAATTAATGGAGAATTTCGGAATTGTATAGGCTATTGTTTCACATTTAACTGTAAATAGAATGTGTGCGATGAATAAATATTAAATAATTAATATA